GTGGCGCCCAACGGCCGCGCCCCAACGGCCGCGCCCAACGGTCGGACCCAACGGCCGCGCGGCCGCCTCGGGGACGTTGTGGCCTTAGCGGCTGTCCCCGCCGTCTGGCTCCGGGCACGGCCAGGCTGGTAGCCGCGGTGCCGTGTCCGCGCTGGCTCGGTCTTTCCAGTTACCGGTCTTGCTACCGTAAGATCTGAGCCTAGGCATATTTTTAGTCCCCACGCGTAAGCAGAGCTACGACAAGGTGACATCGGATTTTTTTTTTCTCTTTTGGGGGGGCGGGGTAGTGCGGTGCGGTGCCCCTGGTGAGGGTTAACGGACCTTTTCGCCCTTTGCTGCATTTCCTCACGAGGTCTGTTTAAGGTCCTACAGTACCAGGGCCTTTCTCGCAGGACAATTCAGACTTGGATATACAAGTGCCTCCCAGCAGCGACAAATTGGGTGAATACCTTGAGTCCCTTCCATTGGCATTAGACTTGTTCTAGAAGCTATAGTGAAAGGGTCCTTTGTAGCATGGACCCACTGTCTTCAGTCTTGTTCTTTGAGGATTTGGGACTGCTTTGCACCTCAGTCATTATAATGCCACGGTAACGCTCATTTCTTCCAGTGTCTCTGCGGTGTTTTGAGCCAGCACTTCCTGATTTTAGTTTGGAGCGTCAAAGCACAGTCTGACAAGTGGTAGAGTCTGTTGCAGTAGAAATTTCCAGAAATGTGGGCCAAGACCCTGCAGTGGCAAGTTACTCTGATGATCAAAAAGTACCTTCTTGGGAAAATAAAATGGAAAATCTTTTTAAATACATATAAATCCTAAAGAAGAATAGTTGCCGTGAAAGGTTTTATAGCATTTAGGACTGTTAGGATTTTACAGCTTAAGAACACTACTAAATAAATTAGCCACAAGAAAGAAATTTTACTGATGGAAAATAATGTAAGAAGAGAATAACTTTTTCCAAGTCCCATGAAGCAAAAAAAAAGGAGAAAACTGCAGTAGGAGAACACAGTAAAGAGGATGGCCTTGTCACATTTCCTTACAGCATTCAAGATCCTGTAAAACCAAGGAGAAATGCCTTCATCATTCACCAAGTCACATTCATTAAATCAACATAGTTCCTAAAAGTACAGTTCTCACAGACTTTCTAATTGTACAACTATGTTGGCAAAGAATATATATTTTTTCCTTGTTAATATATTTACCAACTCCTGCTATAGATGCATTTATATTACAGTATAGTTTTACACAGTATCCAGCGTAACTTAGGTTCCCAGTACCTTGGCAGCCAGGCCTTTCGTTAGGAAAACTGGTATCCCTTCACAGAGGCACAAATTCTCAGCCTCAGCATTCAGCTCCTCGCTTCCGTTCTTCCCCTTGGCTCACCCAGGACATAGTTACCTCTTCACTACCCCTTACCAACTACAAATCCCAGCAAGCAGGAGGCTTCCAAAGGCAAAGTACTGATCCTGTCGTTGACTCTGCTGTTGTTTTCCTGCCCTTTTCTTACGCTTACCCAGCCAGAGTTGACGTGGCTGGAGAGAAGGAGAGCTGATGTAGCCAGGTTTCCCAAAGGGCTGTGTCTTTGCTCCCCAGGATGGCCCTAGCTCCGTTCATAACCACTGTGATACCCGGGCTGAATGAGAGGTGCCCTGTGCTGCAGCGGTATGTGTGCAGCTGGCCAGCTGACCGCTGAGCTGGGTTTGGCTGCCTTGCCTGCAGTGGGAACTTGCTCATGGGCCTCTCTCTTCTACCCAGTTCCTGATCTTGACAAAACATACCTGGGCTGCATTGTCTGCATTGGTGCCTTGGCTGCATTGGTGGCCAGCGATAGGACAAGGGGTGATGGGCATAAGCTGAAACACAGGAAGTTCCGTCCTCAGGTGAGGAGGAACTTCTTGCCTGTGAGGGTGACAGAGCAGTGGAACAGGCTGCCCAGGGAGGTTGTGGAGTCTCCTTCTCTGGAGGTCTTCAAAACCCGCCTGGATGCCACCCTGTGCCACATGCTCTAGGTGTGCCTGCTKGAGCAGGAAGGTTGGACTAGATGATCTCTAGAGGTCCCTTCCAACCTTGAATATTCTGTGATTCTGTGATTCTGCCTCTACCTGTGCTGCACTGCCAAACCTGACTGAAACTGGACAAAGGTTCTTATGAGAAGAAAGAAGACAGGCAGGGCAATTGCTTAAACCTCTTTTCCTTAAAAAAAAAGAAAAAAAAAAGTTACAGGGATGAGGATGATTTGGACTTAGRTTAGCAGGCAATATGAATAAAAGCCAACAGAACAAAAGAAACATATTAATGTGCTAAAGTTACAGGTTGACACTTTTCAAAGGGTTGACAGGAACCAGGATGACTGGAGCTGTTCATGAGGCCTACTGAGAAGAGGCCATGTTACACTGAGCAAGTTAGAGCAATCTCAAGGCTACACTGCTTCCTGCCCCTGAGTTAGCGCAGAACTCTGGATAGAAGTGTACAGATAGAAAGCAGATTAACAGYGTGAATAGCCAAAGGGTAAAAGTGGGAGTGCTTTGAGAAAAATATCAAGTGGGAATAAGAATCTCAACCAACTTTATGAAAAAAAAAAAGATACTGACATGAATAGGCTGATAACTGGACTCCACCTTCCCCATCTGGCTGCTTTCAAGGCACCCAGCCTGATCTCTTAGAAGCAGGTATAGGGATCTGTGCCTTGCAGGGTACGCTTGTGCGGTCAGGAATTTTGGCCCTTCTTCCTTTATTGCAACAGTCAGCTGTTCCTAGCAGTTAATTTGATTAATAGTAATAAATGCTACATTTGCAAACATCACAGAATCAACAGAATGGWTGAGGTTGGTAAGGGCCTCTAGAGACCGTTTAGTCCAGCCTCCCTGATCCAGCAGGGGCACCTAGGCACATCGTACAGGGTCACATCCAGGCAAGCCTTGAGTACCTGCAGAGGAGGAGACTCCACAACCTCTCCAGGCAGGCTGTTTCAGGACTCTGCCAGACAGCATGTGGTGTCTGGCAGAGTGTAGATGTGCAGGTAGTAGGCCAGTGGTGTGCAGGTAGTAGGCCAGAAGAGACACTTAAAAAAAATAGTTTAGCTGGAGAAGGATACTGATTTTTTTTTTTCCCTGTGGCCTTTTCTTTTTCCTAAATAATTCCCAGACATAGCAGGCAGTGGCCAGGGGAAGTTAAGGAAAAGATTGAGCACAGTCCAAAGCAAGTGGTAACTAAGCAACAGGACATTAAACTCTGTCCTGAAAGACAACACAGAGACTCACCTCCTTTTTCTTCTAAGGAGAGGGCTTCCATTGCACCCTTTTCCTAGCAAAAGAAGTTGCAATCTCCAGGCCAAAGCTTCTTTCAGGGTATGTAATGTGTTTTTTTTCTTTTTTTTTTTTTTTCTTCCAAATCATATGTGTCAAGAAATTGTATTGAACAGAGTGGGGGAGCTATTAATAATAAACAGCTGCAGTTTATTTCTGGAAGAGAGGGAGTAAAGAAGAATAGGGAGTAAATGGGCTACATCACTCCCAAGAGGAGTTAAATAGAAGAGAGGGAGCTTATATTTTTTGTTTGTATTTCTCGAGTTAGTGGTATTATTTATGTGTTTATTACACTTTAATACTCCATTTGCAAGTTGGAATTCATTGTCCTCACCTGTGTAAATTCACTGAAGCTCATGAGGCAATTTTTATGAGTAAAGGTTTTATATAAAGCTGATGGGACAATTTTTGTGAGTAAAGGTTTTAAATAAGGCAAGGTATAAATAGTAGATGAAGAAAATATTTCTCCTATGAGACCAAATACGTACTATATCTGTAAACTTTAGAGTAAATGATACTCATTAGTTGATGAGGACAGAGAGCACTTTGGTTGTCACTTTCTGAAGTGTTTGCTCTTGGAATAGTGGCTTTCACCAGGTAGTACCTTTCTTTAGCAGGTGTAGAATAAAGAGCTTCTTTAATTATGAAACCACTCATTCTCTAAGATTTTGCTTGAAACCGAAGTGAAGTAGCTGAATCAAAGTTAAAAGTGACCAAATGACAAAAAAAAAAAAAAAAAAAAAAAAAAGCACATTTAATGCTGTCCTCTGTGGTCTTTTCACGTCCCTTGCCAATTTCTTCTTTTTCCACCAAACTCCAGTTTACTTGCAACTTGTCAGCCATAGTCCAGGTATCCTGACTTAGGGCAGTTTGTTTCACAACATCAGTGCCCGTTGGAGACCAGATTTCTAAAGGATGCTGCGAGTGCTTCTGCAAAAATTCTGATTTCCCTGTTGAAAGTTGCATTGAGAATAATAGACTGCTCTTTGTACACTCAAAGTGGGACAATGCAAAAGTGCTTCAGTTTGCACAAACATGTACTCCATGAAACAGTAAGTCAGCTTTACTGCCTCCTTTGGCTCTCGTATTTAAAAATCACTTTTAAATGCAAAGATCTGTATGAACAAAATTACCCACTGTATGGGCCTGGGCTTCAAAAAGACTATATTCCCATGAAGTAGCTGAGGAGTTACTTCATTGGACATATACAGGTATGCAGGTATGTGCATTAGGATGTGACCCAGGGAGGATGTGCCCTGAACCTGAAATTACGGTATGAGCCCAAATTGTCAAAAGTGGATACTTTGATTTTTGGTTTTGTAATCATCTTCATATAATTTAATCTACTAAAACATGAATGCATTCTTGTTCATATGATGGTCATTCCTATATTGTTTTATATTATTTTATGTAGATTTTCAAGGTTTCACAAGGAAAATAATTGCTCAGCTTCACTTTTAGTGTAAAAAATGAACTTTCCTTTGCACTGCCTGCTGACAACTGCTTTCCTCTAGGGTGCTCCACCCTTTCTTCGTTCTAGTGAGCAATGGAACCAACGCTCCCTGTTGCAGCAGTGGAGGCAGGACCTGTGTATTTCTTTGACCAGGTATTTCCATTCCTTTCCAGAATATCATTCTTCCTTCTACCTCCCTCCTTCCATCCCTCTCCCAGTGTTGAATTTTGTTCATTTTGTTTTAGATGAAAACTAGATTGAAAGAAAGGGACAAGAAAATACCAGAAGAACTCTACTCCTATTTCAGTTTCCTCACTACAGATCTTCACCCTTTAAGTTTTACTCCCAGGTAAAAGTGTTATGCCAGTGTTGGTGAGAGAGCAGGGCAGTTTCTGTCAGCTGAGTTTTCAGGGAAAATTTCAAAGACACAAGCAGGAGTCCAGAGGTAGATGTGGCTAAGGCGGAGATGGAGGAGGCGCATGACCCAAAACTATCATCATGCTATGCAGTGCAAACTGGGGGCTACGAGTGGGGTGGTGGCAGTGTCACACACATAGGCCCTGATTTCTTTAAGTGTGGTGCCTAATGTTCATTTCTGCTGCCAGCGTTTCTCCAGTTTAATATATTTAACATACAAGTCATGGACAATTAGTTAAAGAATGCCACATAATAATCTTGTTCTACTAGTTAGTTTTCCAGGGACTGGACAACAATTCATTGCTGCATGCAGAGTTCTGCAGATATCATGAAGTTCATGTTTGCTGACTAATGTATTAGGAGCTCATGTCCACAGCATTCTCAGGGGATAGTTTCCCTTCTGGATAGTTCAGCTTTAAATCCAGAAATTCAGACTTTTTTATGTTTACCTTAAATGGATGTTTTTGCGCCAAGGAGGAGACTTTTTTTTTTTTTTTTTTTTGTAAATCATCTTCGTATTTTAGATTTTTAAAATGCTAAAACTCTGTGGTATATATTCCATATTGCAATCTGAAATTAAGCCATTATAGTTCCAAATAAAGATGTTCCTCTCATAACCATGAAAGATATGAGCTCATAGACTGAATAAAAAATAGGGTATGGGTTGCTGAAAAATACTTTGCTAGACATCCCAAAATTCCATTTCATCTAAAAACTAAAAGTCTTCTGCATATTGCAGAAAAGTCTTAGGTTTATTTGATTTTCTTCTTTTACTGAGGCAAGAGAAATTTATTTTCCATAGGAAATTTACTTTCCATTACCTCTCACTGTACTTCAGTTGGCATATGCTGTCAGTGCAGAGACTCCCTATTTTGGCAGCAGTACTAAACTCCCACACTCTGCTCTGCGCAGGTAGTTCTGAGCTTGAATGTCTTCTTGGGAAGAAATGTGGCTCAGTTTCAACTGCTGTCCAAGAGAGCCCTGCCARTCTGTCCACATACATTGCAGATGCCAGGCCTAACACATCTGCGCCTTGTATTTTCTTTAACTAATTCTGCTCTTACTTAACGATACAGATTTTTTTCTCCTCAGCCTGATGAAAGGCAAGAATCCCAGCTGTACAGGGGAGTGTACAGAAAGGCACAAAGATGATTTCTTAAACGATGATTCCTTGAGGAAGGAAAAACACCTAGTTTTGCATGAGATGTCCCGTCATTGCCTGCATAAAGCCACTGCTGAAGATGCAAACTCCAAGGTCTCCCAAACACCCTCAATCCAKCTGACAGAGGAAGACTCACCACTGAACGTGTTACATACGTGTGTGACTGCCAGCAGGTCACAGCAACCGGAAGAGAAGTTGCAGTTTTTTGCCAATGAGACTGGTTTTCCTCAGGGAGTTGTGAACATGCTGACCTGTGATGGTAGAGAACTCACTGAGGAGACTGATTATAACACATGGTGCCAGAAGTCACTGGTTTGCAGAAGTGTGACATCCAGGGGAAGCCAGGCCTTGAAGGAGGCTGACAATGGTGCTCCCAGATCCACATGTACGTGGCATGAAAGCTCTGCAAAAGAAAACAATGCTGAGACAGCATCCAGTGTGCCCCTAGGAGATGAAGGTAACAGCGTTCTCAGTAAGTGCTGTGTTGTAAGGTTTGCCCCAAGAGGATAAAAGCACCCTTGTTAAGCACACGCTCTCCTGGCTGTGTAGCCCAACAGGCTCTGCTTTACAGACTGATACCGTGCGGCGCTTGGCGAAGTGCTGGGTTGGGGCATGATGMAATAGCTTTGCAGCTGCAGCAAGCGCTACCAGCCTTTGGAAGAACAAAGCCAGTGAAACTGGGCAAAGTTTCAAGCCATTTATCAAAGCAGTTTTAGTTTCCTATTTCAAGGTGAGTTAGAGAGTCATAACATACTGCAYTAATAAAGATGATCCGTTTGCAGAACATTGCTTTCAGCAGGCGTCTTTAATCCTCAGTGTAGATTCATAGGCATGGGGCAAGCCTGGTCCAGTTCTCTGGGTGCTGCTGCAGTCCTGCTGCTTTAAAATAAAGGGAGAATGTATGTTTTTAAAAGCTGACTCACCCTTCTGTGTGTATGCGTAATCATGATGCTTTGCTCTTCTCCCGTTTAGCTCCTGTTCAAAACGATGCTAACCAGTCACCAGCCACAATCAGCTTCTCGCTCTCATCCAAAATTTGTGAGGAAAGAGGTAAGAGTCCCAGGCAGCTCCTCTGTGTATGGCTAGTATTTAATAGAGATATTTGGGGTAATGCTGTACCTGGACATGCTGTCCAAGTGGGGCTAAAGCATGGATTAACTGGGAACAGCTGTCAGACAATTTCACCAAAGTCCAGTTTTAAATGCTCCATCCCCTTGATTATCTCTGATCATCTGCCAGCCAAGCTTGCTGCCTGCTTCATGTAGTAACTGCAAGTACACTACTCTCTGCTAGCAGAATACAGGCCACATCACTGCTTTGGGATATGTTTTTAAGCCTTTTTAAGCCAACTGGGATGTTAATCGCAAGGCCCTGTGTAAGTTCTCCCTAGAATATATGGACAAATTTGATGATCTAGAAGGAAGAACTGCTTATTCTGCAGCACTCATTGGATTTATTTAAGAACATTACCATGCAAAAAAAAAAAAAAAAAAAAAAACCCGGACACTTGTGAACTTTCTTTTTACTCTTGGCCATGAAGTTGGTTGGGTGCTGCCAGGACTATGCAGAACTGAAATTCCTTGGCTGTTGAAAGCTAAAAATGCTGCAGAGGTATCAAGCATCCTCGCACTGACTGATAGCTCCATGAATAGCTATCAGTAGGTATCACTAAGTGTCAGAAGTGGTAGCTTCACAGGCAGTAAAGGGAATGAATAATATCTCCTCCTGATATTTTTTGAAAACCTGGCATCCAGTTTCTTATGTCTRTACCAAAGCAACAGCTGCCTGAGCCACGAGGATGTGCTTCACCGCAGGGTTGTGAAGCACATTTGGGTCACTGTGCTGTTACATTTGGAAGATTTCTTACGCAGTTTACCCCTTATCTCTACCTCTTTCTTTCTCCAGGGGACTTCTATTTGCTTAATCTGTTGTCACAAGCTTGTTTCTCTTTTGATGATGGGAATGTCCAAAAGTGGGCTGGCTGGTCACACTATTCTGTGATTGTAGCCCACTGAGTGCTTGTTTCTGACTGACTTAATTTTCAGTATATTCACAGTAAAAAGGGAAAACTGAAAACTAGGGAAGCTCTGTTCCTGTGTGTTGTTTTCTACAACTGCTGGGCCATTCTCTGGCAGTCTGTATCCGTGGCTATTTTTTATTGCGTGTCCCTGCTTTTCACATCAAGTAATCTGACTGCTTGATAATAACTGCTGCAATGGAAGATGTTCAAACCAAACAAAGATCACACATTGATCATTTATTTTGGGCTTTCTTTCTGGGGAAACAGAGTGAGGACAACTGAGTGTCCAGAAGTAAAGGAACTTCTTCCTCCATATTGCCTTAGGTCTTCTTAAATCATCCATAAACTCTGCAGTGTGCACTAAGTAAAAGATACCTGGCACAGTGAACTGCAACAGCAGGTATCGTATAGAACTGCATGCCCCTGCTGTCCACAGTGATGCTTTATTTTCCTAGTACATCTCCAGCCGACTGCTAAGAATATTTGGAGACTTCTACTTCCAACCTGTCTTGGCARTGATTCTCAGTGCGTCTGGCTGTGTCCCAACTAAACAGTGACTGTAACTCCAGTGGAAAGTCAGGGTTAATCCAGATAAAAACCTAGCCCGGAATTTATCTGAATAATCTGGTTTTCTGGCGGTCCTCTCTCCTCATAGACATTGTTCTCTTATTTTAAGTTAAACACACGTTCTCTCACATTTCTCCCACTATATTCTGCAAAGAATAAGAATGTTAAAGAATAAAATTCCCAATGCTTTATCACTCAGTATTCACAAGCCAAGTTTATACTGACAGGTGCCATAGAATAGGGCTGACATTAACCTCACTTGCTCTTATGCTTTGTCTGTCTAGGTTGGATTTGCCAGCCTTCTGATTCAAGTTTTGAAGATCCTTGGAAGCTGCCTTATGTGCGGGCACTGAAGAGACTACAACAAATTAAAAAGCAAATGTAACAAACTGAGTTTTTTATTTCCACAAGCAAATTTAGAATATATGGCAATGTCCCTAGGAAGAAGAATAGAAATGATGGGAGACCATTTAATCAAATTGTTGCACTAGTATGGAAAGCATTATTATTCTGAAAACTTTGAGGGCTCAGTTTAACATTCCACTGTTATGAAAGCGAAACGTACATTTATTTTAATTGCTGGTAATTACTGGAAAATAACATATTTTCAGGATTTAATGATGAGACAAGATTAATATTCTCTGATTTTCCTTAACCTCTAGATAAACTGTCCAACAGTTGTAACGACCTGTTCAAATATCTTTTGCAACGGAAACCGAGGCTAGGGAAAACTACTCTGCATTTTCATCAGCTGCAGTAATCTGTGTAGCTGGTTGCCTTACCAGTGTGGGGAAGAAGCCTTCCATAAGGGATTATGCCCAGAATCAGGCCACTGGAATTCTTCATGCTGCTAATATGTAGTCCTTGTATTTGCACATAGCACAAGATGGCTTTACCTCCCTAAAGACATCTCATACAGAATTGTCATGGGCTTAATATATAGTCTCCAAATACATCTGTCATTCCTGGAGTGCCAACTTCAGTGGTAAAATAGAGAGTATCAAGGAAGGCAAGTGAAGTCAGAAATAGTTAAGTTCAACTGAAGCAATCCTCTGTAAAAGAGGTGCTGGAATTTATACAGCAGGCTATGTTTAAGTGAAAAATCTTCAGTGGATACAAATTACGAGCATTGGTTACTTACAAGGACGGTTATTAAAGGTTAACCAGTGTAATTCTGTATCCACRGCAGTTTATGAATTTCAGCTCTTACCTATCCTTCTGTTTTACTGGTACTGGTAGTGTGGGTGTGCTGGGAATAACTTTAAATAACTTTCAGATTTAATAAAACCAGCACACTACCTTAGGTGAAAAAATCATAATTCTTTATAATGAAGGCTAGTGGCTGTATAAAAACTAGCAGTTATCAGTATGTAAGAATGTATATATCAATAATATGGAAACATATGTTCATCCTGGAATGGTTTATTACCACTGCTTTATTCCTTTGGGAATCAGTTACCCCAAGCTACAAGAGAGACTAGATGCTAGAGCAAAAACTGGAGGTCAGGCTCCAGTAGTTGTAATTTGAAAAAAAAAAAAAAAGGCAAAAAGAGAAGCAAAAAACAAGCTTAATATTTTTAATATTTGAGGCTCATACTGGAATTGTATGTTGTGATCACTTAATTGAGCACTGTTGCCTGCCAGCCCCTGAGACGTGATGTGTCTTTGAACTGCGTGATTTAGAGAGTACTCTAAAATATGTATTCACTACTTGAGCATGCTCTAGCCTGCACTTGTTAGCCACTGGATAGGTCCCATCTAAACCCTAAGGATACTAATGTTTGTAGGTGGTGCAACTCTTCTAGGATCTACCCAGAGCTCCACGGTCAGGTGACTTAACCATCTAACCAAGGACAACATTTATGGCACTAATAGGAGAGCCTGCCTACAGGGAAAGCATTTCCTTCCCCAGGCCCTGAGCATGTTTTCTTTGCAGTATGTGTAGACCCTGTTAGCCCATTGGCTTGGAAGGAAAGTGCTGTGCCTCATATTGCAGTGCTGCAGTGCTGCCACCAGATTCGTTTTGGCAGTGCCACGGGAAGTGACTCTGCTTTTCAGTGTTTATGATTAGCCTGGTCAGCAAAAAAACCTTTACATGGAGTACTATTTTATGGCAGAATTTAAAGAGCAAGAGTATTGACTCAAAGACAAAAACATTCCTTTGATTCCTGCTCGCTAATATTTTAGATAATTAGCTTCTCGTAACCAAACAATATTTTTTCCTTTAATGTTTTCATTTAGCTAATACTTCTGTGATGATTTGCTCATTTTTATGACTGCTTAAAAAGCAACAGATAAAATTTTACATACATGTAGAACATTACCATAAAAAGTCTGCTTGAAAAAGTTATCAGCTGAAGGCTGGCAGGACTGACTGTCTTCTGGATTGGGCTTAATTAAGGTTAATATCAAACTCTGCCTCTCCACTTCTGTCTCTGGAGCAGCCATGGAACTGAAACGCATACAAATGTGCTTGTCAGGGAAATTTTAAAATAACTTAGTATGGTTCTTTCTCAGAAAGGGGAAGTAAAAAATAGGAGCAAAAAGAGTAGCACAGTAGTGTGTGGAACTCTGGATGGTGAAGAAGAAAAAAAAATCAGGTGAACAGACTTTCTCCAGGGGTGGTTTTATTGCCCCTCACAATCAGTGGATCTCTGGCCATGGACGTGTGTAGAAGACTGGCATGGTGGCTTCTAGTGCCAGCTCAACCACACAAATCAGCTTGTGCAAATGTGACTGTGCTCTGTGAGAGAGTAACGTGCTTGCTGGTATTGATCAATACCAGTTGYGCAGAACTTTGTGTGTTTATAAAGCTTCTCAGTATTTTCAGCTCTAAGGCAAGGTAGGGGAATACAAAATCGTACTGTAGATTGAAAAAAAGTACCTTTAAACACTTCTATGTTAAAACAACAGCAAAACCAGAAATCTGCCTCTTAACGGCTGATGAAGCKTAAGGAGGAAGGTGGGAGATTGGCATGTTCTTTTGCATGAAGTAGAAAGGAGAAGATCAGGAGGGGAGCAAACACTTGGGCAGATTTTACCCATACTGTATCTGAAAATATAAACTTGATGACTTGCTAAGATGCAATAAAAAATGTACAATAGCTGAGACCTTTAATCAAGAACATTTATCTGTCAGTTGTTCACAGTGGCCAAGCTGCGCACTTGTACTACCACACTTGGCTGTAACTCATGGCCTGAGTCCATTGGCAAAACACTGAAATGGCCCTAATAAATTTAACAGCTTATGTTGAATTTAGCAGTTTCATCAGGCTGTCAGCTGATCTTTCTGCAGCAGCCTGAACTAAATTAGCTAAATTAGTAGCTAAATTAGTAGCCTTCAACTAGGAAACTCACAAGTAAAATGTGTTTTCTGCTTAGGTCAAACTTTCTTCTAAAGTAATATAATTCTTATCTAAGGAGTCTGCTTAGCAAGAATTAATCAGAAGTTTATTTTTCCCCTTCATATAAACAGAAAAGAGCAAATATCCAAATCGAAAGAAGCAAGCCTTGATAAACCAGTTTCTGTTCAGCACCATGGAGGCCACAAAGAAGAAACTTCCTGCAAGACATGGAAGGGTCACATTGACATGACTGGCACACCAGAGCTGCTGCATGGCAAACGGCACATCCCAGTGGCCAAGAAAGCAGAYTCAGCACAGAGAAAACTGCACTACAAACTGAATGATGGCTCATCTTTGATTTAATATCCTTTTYGTTTGCACAGCACATGCGAATGTTGGCCAGAGTGTGACAGGCAGGGGGAGGACTTCTGCAGGCTGAAAATTTAAGTTTTAATGTGTAAGTTGAACAGCTTCCAACTCAACTGTATGAAATAGAACAAACATTGTTCTTTYGTCAGCTACTTACCGGGCTATATTTGTATAGTGTCAGAGCTATATATAGGCAGTCAGGTTACTAAGCAAAAGCCAGAATAACCAAGGTGGGTAGATATGCCTCAAAGAAACACACAGAATAAAAACTGCAATTACAAGAGGACTAGATCAAGGACTAGATTGCAACTCATTTAGAACATAACATTGTTTTTACACAGAGATCACGTTGTTGACCTCAGTCATGAAGCTGGATTAGGAACGGTCCTGAGCAAGTCTGCTTGGTCATTGTGGAAACTACAGAAGAGCCAGTGTTTCATAAACATATTTCACAGAATCACAGAACGATTAAGGTTGGAAGGAATCTCTAGAGATCATCTAGTCCAGTGTTTCTCAGTCATATGTCATCCTTCCTCCTGGGAAGGTCACTCTTGGCCTACATCAGCAGGCATTTGTTATTGTCCTGTGTTAGCTTGATCAGGCGGGTGGATTTTGTACTTAAGAGCTCTTACCATCTTCCGTAGCTCCCAACCCTCTTGGCCCTTAAAGATACAGAACAAGTAGAGAGTGCTGATGCCTGTGCTATTTGCACAGGCATGCAATAAAAGCTATAAAACTGGAGMGAAAACAATCCAGTTCGCTCCTTGACTTTCATTTCAGCTATCCTTCCGGATGCCTTGCTGTTTGCCAAAGCTACTGCAGTCTCCCGGGTGGGGGCATGTGTACCAATATATTTAGTGCTTCCTCGGATCACTCTGTAGTTGGCACTTTTACCCCGTATGGCCACGGCAGCATCTGTCTTCCTAGCAGGTAGGCAGATGCACTGCAAGCACTTGCTGATGTGGCAAATTGCCACAGAGAGCATGCAGCTATATAAGGATCTGGGCAATGTTCAAAACCATAATGGGCATGAGAATGGTGATAGCAGTTGTGCAACAGGAGTTTGTTTCTGCAGCTCAGACATATTTTAGTTGGGTGTCTCACAGTGAGTCGGGTTTGTTTTGGTTCATTGTTTTTAATCCACTCCCTCTGCTCAAAAACCTAAAGACAGGCACAGTGTAAGGTGAACAGACTTCTGCTCAAACAGATTGATAATCCTTGGAGTCTTTGGCCTTGGCATCTATCTACGTGCACGAGAAGAGGAAAAGTCGCCTCCCAGCCTGTCCATGGATCACCTGGAGGCAAAGGAATCTACTCCATCTGTGTTAGGCAGAAAGTCCTTGACCTTCCATGTGTAGGAGTAAAATGCCACCTTTTGTTTAAGCAGCTCCAAAAGATTCTGTTGTCCAAATTGCTAAGCTAGATGGAAGCCACTTTGAATACTGAATTTCTGCTTTGTGAAGTCAGTGCTGTGGGGACAGGATGCATTTTGGCTCACTGAAAAATTCACACATCCAAAAGAAACAGCAAGCAAGTGGGAGCCAGCCTCCTGGCTTCACCAGGTGTGCGATGTGAGCTGTGAATGGATGCATACAAAAACCAGCCCCCTTCTGYCCCCCAGCCACAGTGCGTCCTGACTCACAGTGCAGTGCATTATCAGATCAGAAAAGGAGCTGATCAAGTGCTGTTTACCCTAGGCGTTGTTCAATTTGTCAAATGATTGGCATAACCTTATAGGAAACTGGAGCTTATAAACCAATTTGGAGTAATTTATACACAACAAAGAACTGGGATCTTTCTGCCTGCCCACCACCAAGTTCTCCCAGAAGTGCCAGTCCCTCTCTCTAGTCAAACATGGCTGAAGAACCTCTAAAAATCCCTTTTACCTGTTTTTATGTTCTACATCAGTTTTTAATAAGAAGGGTAATTAAGAATCTATTTGTCTTCATTAGATCATATTTGAATACGTGTTAAAGACAATTCCTTCAAAACCTGCCATGGTGTAGCATTTTCATCTTGTGTCTGTTTCTTTCCCTGGGATTCACTAGTTCTTGCAGGTTTGTGTAATGCCATATTGCTAAAAAAATTGCCAGGGTTTGGGKGCTCATCCTTTATTACAGCCTTTTTTGTTTGGTGTCCAGCCAGTGTATCTCAGGAAGGATAGACTGTCATTAACAATCGAAGAAAGGCTGCAGGATAAACACTGATGTTCTGTGTGGTTTCCTTTACCTTTATATGAAGTGAAGAAAGTTTATCACTGAAGCCTAGCTGCAGTACAGCCTTTCCTTTATTTTCCTCTTTCAAATGCTTTTAGCAACATTGTAATACTAAAGATGTCTGAAATCAAACCTTCCAGCTCTGCAAGGGAAGGCGAGTGGCTAAAAATGAGGGACACATTAATGTACAGTTGCCTTCAAYTTTAAGAGGCTATTACCCTGTGTGAGTTCTCTGACGTGGAAGAATAGGTTTTACTGGGACTCTGCCAAGATGTATTTTTCATCTTGTGCATAAAAGGGACTTCAGAACAAGTTCAGTAGAGTCAGAACTTGCAGAAGGAGCTGGTTCTTGTTTATAAACAATGTCTAGGAGTCCAAAATATTTTAAAAAGACAATTTCAAACAATTGTCCATTAGGATAAAAAATCATACCCTCCAGATTTACCCATACTGGCCAACTTTACATTATAGAAAAGCAAGCAAAATACATAGAACAGATTAAGTGCAGATTTTAAATTTCAGGACTCCTGAGCCATCTTTCTTTGTCCTCATTAAAATATATATTTATTTTCAAACCCCAATAGAAGTACAGGAAAACTGTGAAGTACCCTTTTATTCAGTTAAATTGTCAGGGAAAAAAGGAAATCCAGGGTAATCCATGGAATTTTTAACTTTAAAAAATAATTCCTTCCTTTATAGCAGAGAGACTCACCCCAAACCTACACATTCAGCTTTTCTGATGACCTGAAGATCTTTCCTGTATGTCTAAAGAATTACATCTTCTTAGCAGATCACCAAGTCTTATTTAATTGTGGGTAGATAGAAGTTGAAAGTAACAGAATATATATTATTCTTAAAAAAATATTAAGGTGAGAGGCATCAGAATGTTCATGAAATTGTTAACTCTAGATTTATACTAGTAACTACATTGCATTTTACCTTATTTGTTTCTTCCCTTAAATTTACTTTAGAATTTGAAGCATGTTAGAACTCCAAAGAATGTGCTAATAAGTGGAAATGGAATTAAAATGACCCATTAGACMCCATCATCTTTTTCATGTGAATTATCAAACCAAGCATTTAGCCATACACTTCTGCCATTATTACAGGGATAATAATTTGTATCTGTCTAGCAGACCTGTAGCAACCGAAAAACAGGGTGAAGGAGGGGATATGCAGATTAGTGGTTTAATTAAAGGCTCTTAGATCAAAGTGAAATTCCTGGATTGTTTAGGTTTTATTCAGATACCGCAGGAAAAACAGGTTTCACATTTCTGCTTGTTTACAGCAACACTGTAACAATGCTGTTTAATCAGGAAGGAGGTTTGGTGACTAATAGAGATGAAGAAATGGCCAGAGAATGGAAATGGCCTCGGGATGGCAAGCTTGCTAAGCCAGTTATAATACAGGTAAAATTTATTACATTATTTTGTGTTGTTTTTACCTCTTTTAATTCCACATCTTTTGGTCTCTCTGAAGTGTCATTATATATGATTATATTACAATGATGTTTATATTTTTCTTTAACAAGTTTTACAAAGAATGGGCTTCCCAACACCTTTACATGAGTGGAGATCAGGAGCCTCAGGAGAAAGAAAGGAAAACAGCATAAAACTATTGCAACTCAGGATTTCAGTAGACCAGAGGGTTATTCTCCTTGCTGGAAGCRTTTTAGAGAAAGTTATAGATGTGAATGAGCGATTTGGCTATTCCTCATTCTCCTTCTGAGCATGTTCTATAGCAGGCAGCTAGTTGTCCCTGCCTTGCGCTTGATCCTGTTCCCACTGGAGTCGCTGAAAAGCCTCCCCCTGTCTTGTAGTTACTGGATGCAGGCCTCACATGCTGCAAAAACACTAGAAATCAGGGTGAAAGCCTTTGCAGCGCAAGGCAGTTATGTGCCTTCAGGCATGCAGTTTGTAAACACACCCACTATCTACAGGCCTCACATCAGGAGAATTTTTCTTCTTTGCTGCCTGATGCAGAGCTCCCAGCAGCAGACTTASTATTTTAAGGTTGGGATATGTAAGGCATAGCCAGAACGGGAGCCAAACACAACCCAAATTTTCTTTACTTGGCTCACACAACCCAGTCTGGCAGAGAAAGAGAATAGCTTCAAACAAGAAGTGATAGTAAAATTCTTACAGCTGCCTTGACAGTTTAATATAGGCACATAGTTTTATTTGTAGGAGACAGGTGTTGGATTTGTGCTGTAAATTGTTTATATGGTGAAATTTGCAAGAATTCAGGGCTTCTAACATACCATGCTCTGTGTGCAGTTTTGCCTTTACAAAGTGTAAAAATTAAAGCAGATCAATAAGAGTTTGGACTGTGAAGTCCTGGTTACAGAATGGTACTGTGAATTATGTGCTATAGCAGATTAATTTAATGTTCTCCAAGAGTCACATGAAAATGGAAATGAGCTTAGTAAAGGTGTTAGCATCTGCAACATAATATTTACTTTGCTTTAATAGGTAGAAGTGTCAGATGCAGGAAATGGGGTGGTGCAAACTAGCTTTTAGATTAAATGAGTTGTAGGAAAAGTGGTTCCGAGTAGGAATTTGATGTCACCAATATATGCAGCATTGTGCACAGTCAATGCTGATGGCTTTATTGATTATGATCTTAAACAAACAAACAAAACAACCCCCCTCCATGTGTGTCACAGTTATTTACTGGAGGACTAAACATTGACACTTTCCTGAGTGGGCTGAGAGGTAGGAGAGTTTCTCATCTCTTCCKGCTGCACAGCTTCAGCTATTTACCTTACAAAACATGTAGAAGAATCACAGTAGTTTTGCTCAGAGCTTGAGTCRTTCAAGCCAGGTGCTGGGGCTATCTCTGCCCCCAGATCCTTTCCTAGGAACAAACTCTGCAATGTTCATGCTACAGGCACTTGTTACTCTGAGACTGCAGCTGGCCTCTTCCATGCAAATAGGAGCACTTCTTCTGGCACAAATAAGCAAACATGATGTAGTAAGTCTCCTTTTTTGCCCTTCCAGGTTAATGACTACATGACAGTGAGGATTGCAGGGCGCTTTGCAATGAGCTTGATCTACAAGTGGCAACGTGAAAGCGTGTGCTTGTCTCTGTGCCCGCGGCGGGGTGCGGTTCTTGCGCAGCTGGAAGAGTCGGTAGGTTGGAGCTGCTACTGTCCTGCACCGTATCGAGGAACATGAAAAATAGTTGTTGTCCTGCAAACTCAGGAATCAGTGAGGTTTCCCATAAAGTACATTTCAAGGTTTCTTTACTTTTAAGCACGCTATGTGAGAGAGAAAGTAAGAGCTACTAATATGTAAATAAGTTCCAGTGGATTTATGCTGATATACAGATACTGTAGATCTGTCCCAAAGGAACAGACTTTCCAATATGCTTTGGCATTTCCTATTTATGGCCTTCTTTTCCCAACTGCTTTCATTTAATGTTTGCCCTATTAATACTATTTGATGATTAAGTCTGTATCAACCTACACCACATCTGTAATCTATAAATGTAATATGTTCAAGCACTCTCATTTGCTCAGAGTGGATGATGAAGTATTAACAATACGTATAGATACATCTAGAATTCTCTGGTGTCTACCAGGTAGAATAGTAAGTGTGTTAACTCAGCCCATTCTGAGGTAGGTATAATTTACTGTGCAGTGAGTAGGAGGGTAAAGATAAGTGAATGAAGAGCACTCCTCCACCCAGGAAAAATTAAAACTTTTTCTGTGTCACCAGGAGCAACAGTTTTCTCTAGAAGTCTGATTCAAATMATCTGGGCTCCACTTCTGTGCAGCGAGAGGGCTCTCCAGCTAGGTTAATCAGCTGGACAAAGCCCTGCATCTTCATGGCAAATGTCCTCTTGTAGGCACCTTGAAATACGTTGCTGGTAAAGCAGAACTTGCTTTGGCAATATGGAGCTCAGGAAAAAGCTAGCTACAGAATAGTTGTTGGAAAAGCAGCAGAAATGTGTTATACAAGTAAAACAAGCAATACTCAGTGTTTATTTCCTTCTTACTGTTATGTATGAAAGCCTTTACCCTATTCAACATAAAAACATGTATTGTGGGGCTGTAAGAGGCATGTATGCACAAGCACACGTGTGAAAATGTTTATATATAAAAGCCTTTGGCCTCTAAAGCATAAAAACATATATCACAGGGTTGTAGGAGGCAGGTATATACATGCACATGTGTCCAAGTGTGTCCTAGTGATTGCTTTTAAAAGAAATTTAGATTAACTCCTGAACTTCTGAGAGATACAATTTGTCAGTTATTAACTTGCATTTTCTAATGGTGTTTCACAGTGTGTAAGTCATAGTTAGATGTTAGAACATGCTCCGGGAAGCTACTACAACTAACGTCAGCATCATTGCCACAAAAACCTCTTCAAGCACAGACATTGCTACATATGTGGGCAAAGATACAATCCACACAAGAGAGATATAAGTAACAAATGAACAAATTCAAAATCTAACCTGTTTTTATTTGCTTGGAAGCAAAAGGAAAAAAAAACCCACACATTGAGTCTGCACTGCATTTCATTAAGACAGGTCTCAGTTTTTTAAATAGTTTGGCAGTTCTATGATTAAAGAAGATATTGAGAAGTTTGAGATACAGCCTTAATAAGCTATAATCCTCTCTATCAGTGGGGTGAGAAACAATACCTTATTCCCTCTAATTTTAGAAATGCCAGCCTGTTACAAAAATAGTGCTAGCCCTGAGTGTGTGTAATGGCACCAGAACAAGGCTTCCTGAGAACAGCAGAGTAAATGGAGTACAGAAGCGAGTGGAGAATCTGAGCCTCTCTCAAAATAGCACTGGGGAAGATGAAGCAGTGCAAGGAATTCACTGGATATTGTTTCCCAGTGGAAATGGAAAGGTCACTGCTCTGAGGAACTGCARTAAAATAGGGAGAATTAGTATAGAGGGAGTAAAACTTCTGGTTCATTTACACTCTTGAGTAGGTGGTTAGAATTTATACAAGTCTCAGTTTACACCTACTCCTTTACACCCAAAGCATTTCTCACCATAGCTCTGCGGTGAAGAGTTYGACTTTAGCAAAGATTTAATGTTAAATAGCCAGGTAGCAACTTCCACCTAGACAARATTTATAGAAAATAAATGGCAGACAGCTGAGGTCTGAGTCACAAAAATCTGCTTCTTAGTTACCCTATTGGCAGTATCAATACAAACCACACCAGAAGATAAATTCACACATGGGAAGGTATGACCAGAGGTGTTTACGGTACCAGTTTGATTTGATTATAGGCCTTTACTCTCTAAACCTCTCTGCTAAGCCCCTTAGAGATATCCTTGCCATATACACCAGATGTATATGGCACACTTGCTTTCTTAYTGTCCTCCTTGCATGCGTTATGTGTCTCCTTCCAACTCCCTCTGTCTCCTCAGTGTGCCAGACTTCATGCTGGGGAGGAGAACCTTCACAGAAGGAGTATGCTGGTAGGAGAGCGGCCTTCAAATGGGACTTTGTGGAACTCYAGTGGGACAAGTTACTAGTTACTACTAGTGTAAAATCTGCCATAGTTTTAAAGAACACCAAAAACTGGCATGCAGTAAGGTTTTGTTTAAAAAGTTTTGAAAGAGTTAAATTAACCTTCAGTGTATAAACTGACCAACTGCAAGTAGAGAGATAAGTATTAGGATGATTGTGATTTTTTCACAAAAAATAATGGGACCAAAATCTGGTATCAAATGAGAGRTACACTTCACAAGAGAAGATCCTGAAAATCTGGAGAACAGTGGGTTTATCTGGTGACATCTCCAACTTAAATTAAGGAAACAATATTAAAATCCCAAAGTCTTGTCATAGCTACCTTCTGGGTACAAAAAAAAAAAAAAAAGGACTCACAAGAGTCACAGCATTAAAAATACTTTTGATGTAAGAGCATTTTTAAAGGCATGAAGTAGGGATTCTGTGTGGAATTA